ATCCTCTGTGTGTAGAGTCGACGGTTGCATGAATTGTCCCATACGATCGGCCTTTTCACCGGATGGCGGATGGGAAAATGAGCTTTAGGCGTCGACCGCTGTATGATGTGGCGAGTTAGGGCCACGTGGAACATGATCATCATCCGACGTGTCAAAGCATATTTTCTCACACAACAGTACTATTAATATTGCTTGAATCACGATGAAATCATTGTTTGAGACTTAAAAAACTCTCTTTTGATATTGAGATTTTTATTTAACATGCATATAAAGTTTTTACTTTAACATGTTAATTCTTTATTCAATTTTCATCATGTCCTAAATAATAAGTATAACAAAAGAAATTTTCAAGTTTCAGAAGAAATATCAACTTTCTTGTTATGGAAGAGGAAAAGTAGGGTAGCTCTGTCTTTTGGCACTATATCAGCAATGTCCATTTATTTTGGCACTGTATCAGCAATATTGTTTACTACTAGCAATCATTGGGGTTAAGAACTGGAAGATACACTAGAAGCAGCTGTAAGATAAAATGGTGGTGTTGCTGCTTCACTGGCATGGATGGTGCTAAGCTGATAAGAAGAACAAAGTGCACGACTGCTGAAGAAAATTTGAGTGAAACCATTTTCATCATCTTCAATTGTTTTTTCGACTCTTTAGTCGTTAGACATGGTTAAAGTACTTTAGCTGATTAGAATATAATATTCTGACGGATTCAACCACTTTTGGGGCGGGTGCGGACCTGAAGACACAATAATAGCGTATTTTCCGAGCACTATGGCGCGAGTGAACTACTTTTTATATTGACCTTATAATGTTTTTATAATCCTTTTAGAGTCATAATTACAAACAGATCCCCAGTATCTTTGTGAAATGCGAGTTTTTCATCTTATAATTTTGGAAATGACAAAAGTTTCCCTTATTTTACAGATCACATTACAAAGTCCTCTACTCTCTTTTATACTTGTTCACTTATAACATTACAAAGATGTTTTAGAATGCCCATGTTATGCTTAACAATTCTTTTAAATTAAAAATTAAAACTACCCCACACCGTGCAGTCTGGGGCAAGACCAACCAGTTGGTAGGTCTCAGACAAGGCCCTTCTAGCCTCACCACTTCAAGAGTTGCTGTCACGCACTATAAGAAAACAAGGCTTTTAATGTGACGACCTCACTGGTATGAAGCGAGAATGTGGGATATCATCGCCCTCATTATGAGGATCCTAAGGCCTGCCCTCGCCCATCTAGAGAACCCTCCACCACGTGGATGGAGGGTTGGTGACCTTGGCGGCACAAGGGCATGGAAACAATTTTTCAAGTTGAGGGGCAAATTGTAAAAATCTTACAAGTTCAGGGGCTAAGGGTGCAAAAATACCCTAAAAATAATTAATGATTTCTTTGTAACAGTTTCTAACACGACAAATTGTCTTTCATCAAAGAATAGACAAAAATCAAATCAACTAAGAGACTTCTTCGTCTACTCGTCAAACCATTATCACATTGAAATCAAATCATTACTATATATTGTGGAAGAAACGACACGCCATTTTCTTTGTTATAAAAATTAAGAAATTTTACAGACACAATCTTTATATTTTTTTGAGCATACTTGCTAAAAATGGTCTCAAAAAATTTTTAAAAAATGTAAAACGCTGTCAAAAAGCCCCCGACCCGCGTAGTGGGGCACCCAGGGGTCAGAATGGGTCAAAAATTTACTTTTTTATTTATGTTTTGCATTCTAAAATTAATATACGATTTTTAAGAATTAATGCAACAAGAGGCACCATTTTTTGATGAATATTTTATTTTTTATGATTTTTTTTATTTAAAAAATAAAATAAAATAAATGATGTCAAAAAATTATGAAGACCGGCCAATTTAACCCGACCCAACTGTGACAATGGCCATATAATAAATCTGCCAAAGATTATGGTGTTGGTACATGTGTAATTTTGATATTTTTTTAAGTAAATACTATGACTTCACTAATCTCACTGTTTAATTCATAATTTAAAATTTTAAGTTAAAAATTTGACTTGTGTGTTTAAAAAAAAGTTATATTAAAAAATTAAATTTAAATTTTTATAAGAAAAAACACTAATAATAAAATTTGAGTGGTAACTTAAAAGAATAAAGAAGTGATCGTCAGATGGGAATTTGAATACCAAAAGTGTGTTTGGTTGTACTGTTATAATAGTAATTTGTCAAGCTCGTCACCAGATCTTAACTGAAGTTTTTATTATTGGACCAAAGTCAGTGATTTGATATAGACGGAGATTTTGGATTCGTTTCATAAAAAATAAATAAATAAATAAATAAAAAGTTTGAGACTATTTACAGATTACTAGCTCAATGTTTATTAGTATTTGGTGGAAGGCATCACGTTTCGTGTTCCTCAAAAAAAAAAAAAAATTTATTCAACTTACTCTTAAAAGTATATAGGTCTAAAATTTTATTTTTTATTCTTGATTAATAATTTTTTGATATAATATTTAATTATAATAGTATTAATTAAAAGTAAGAGTAAAAATCAAGAGTCATAAGAATATTTATCTCCTTTTCTTTTTTTTTATAAGTAGTTTTTTCTTTTTGAAATCAATTATAAGTCATTGCAAATATTATTTGTGCGTGAATACAAGACCGGGCCGGCCTACTATTATTGGCCCGAGTTGAGGTTTCGAGTCAAAAAGTTTATTTGAGCATGTCCGGTCCAGCCCAAACACTTTTTTTTTTAAAGAATCAACATGCACGTAGTCATAAACGCATAATAGATCGTTTTATTATTGTAATGATTTCAGAATTATGAAAAATAATGAATATAAAGTTTGAAAAGATTAATGCAAAATCAAATACCGAAACAAATGAAATGTGTTTTTAGTGGACAAAAAAACACAAAAATGTATAAAATTAATACCTGTTTTCACTAAAATTATTATCATATCATAATGAAACAAAATTTCTAATAAAGAAGAAACACTAAAATGAACTCTTCAAAAAACATTTCATTACTTTAATGATGGTATTATTATGAAACAGACTGAATATGAAAAAGCTTACAAAAAGTCGGTAAAGTTAGGCGCCCGAACAAACATATTTTTGAGTGGACTAAAAAACACGAAAATGTACAAAATCAGTACTTATTTTCATTAAATTTTAGGATCATAACATAATGAAACAAAATTTATAATAAAGAAGAAACACTAGAATGAACTCGTTGAAAAACGTTTCACTACTTTAATGATGATATTATGAAATAAACTGAAAATAAAAAATTTACAAAAACAATAAATATGCACGAATACTCAAATTCATAAAAAAGTTGTTTCATTAAAGTCATTCTGAGAAATAATGAAAATAAAAATGGTAGAAAATCCAAAATAAATGTATTTTTAAGTGGACAAAAAAACACAAAAATGCATAGAATCAATACTTAATTTCACTAAAATTATGATCAACTCATAATGAAATAAAAATTCTAATAAAGAAACCCGAAAATGAACTCATCAAAAAATATTTCATTAATTTAATGATGATTTCATTATGAAGCATACTGAATATAAAAAGTTTGTAAAAAGTCTCAAACAATAAACATGCAAGAATACAGAAATTCATAAATAAATTGTTTCATTATAATAAATAATGCTACAGGACCAAATCCGAGTTACACTAAAAAAACAACAATATCAAAGACAAAGACAATAATAACACATGCAAAAGAAATAACGTAGCCCTCATTCATTTCACCAATTCGAATTTTCAATTCTAATTTTCAATTCTAATTTTACTACAGTTAAAAACTATCGTAAAAAGTCACATCTAATTTTTTCTGTTACAGTTAAAAACTCTCATATAAAATTACATCTCAACTCAAACCCACGAACTGAACGATGCCATAAACACAAGCAAATAAAACGAAAACGAATAGAAGTCAAATAAACAACAATAACAAAGATAAACAATAACGTAAAGGCAAGCAAATAAACCCAAAAGGATTAGCAATAAAATTATAAACAACAAAAAGTGCACCCGCCAGCCGATGAGCAACAATGAAATGTAAAGAGGGTAGCAAGTCAAAGAACCGGGCATCCAGGTGATGAACGCAAATCAACAACCAGCAATCCACATACGATGGCTGCTCTTCCTAAATATGAACGTGAAACACAGAACCGGAGATATGAGTAAAAAAATGTGGAAAAAAAAAAAAAAAAAAAAAAAAAAAGGGAAAAAAAAAAAAAAAAAAAAAAAAAAAGAGGAAAAGAATAACCGGAGAAAAAAAAAAGCATAAAAATTGATTACAAAAAATAATTAAGTTAAAAAAATGGAAGTAAAAATCTAAATTACAATCAGAAAAAATCAGTCTGCAAATAAATAAAACCTAACCATATAAAGAACATTACTAAAAATACCTAACAAGGGCAATACAGGAAAAAAAATATGCCTTATAAAAAATAAACCGACATTCTTGTAATATTGTACAATAGTCAATATTATTTAAAATATAGGTTTAAAATTAGACATTTTATGTAATTACTTCTTATAAAATTTTAGGTCGAAGTCTTTTTAGGCTTTAAAATTAGAATGGGCTGACCCTCGCTCGGCCCGAATTTCCATTCGGATCGCCGGACCAAGTTAGATGCCCCGAACTTTCACTTCTAGTGATTATGATCACGTCTGAAAAATAGCTATGGCTGGCTGGTAAATTCCACATCATTTTCAATTAAAAAAATGCAAAGGAGGAGTTAATGGGAATCACCGTACAATCATATTTTATTCCAACGATTACTTATACAATGAATACTATGGCTGAGGTATTTCTACATACAATACAACCTACCCAACCCGGAAAAAATAATGATCCCAGGGCTGAGATAAGGAAAAAAGAAAAATTCAACTTGAAAATTAAATTGAAGGTCTAATTGAAGGGAAATAAAAATAAATAAATAAATGTAAGAAGTAAGAACCATCCATAATTTATTGTTCTTTTTTCTTTTTTTTTTCGGAATAAAAATTGCAAAACAGTAAAATTTGCATCTTGTTGCCGGGCATGATGGTTCGGCAATTGGTTAGTGATTCTTGTGTGGAGCTGAGGCATGGACTCTTGGGCTTGGAAGTCCAAGGTGGGCAAGCCTAGGTGATAGATGAATTTTTGGGCTGGGCCTTGGCGAAGGGATTGGAGCATTGGGCCTGACTCTTGGCGACAGATTGACTTGTTCAAGTGCCTGGAATTGGAGCTGCGTGGGATACTCTCTCATACAGCTAATGCGTGGACCAGCTCCAGTGGTCCATTTGGAAGATAAACACTTGCCCAATTGAAGTTTTGGCGTATCCACTTTGGTCTCAGCGTGTTTTGGACCGTCTTCAACATGAGCATTTTGGTTATTTTCCACAGCAATAGAGAAAGGCACAACTCCAGTACTATTACTGCCACAAAATACAGATTCTGATTTTAGCCTTTTCTTGCTAGGTGGTGGAATGTCATCATCTATGGGACATTTCTGCAGCACATGAAAAAGAGAAATCACACAACAAGTTGTCATTACTCACTCGACTTTCATTGTGCTATTTCATTAATTTAGAAAAATGCCAAGGCACCGTAGGTGTTAAAGCATTACAAATAATAAAAAGTGAACTCTATTTCTGGATCTCATGTTGTGGGTCCCTCGCGCTATGTCAAAACAATGGTTCTAAGTTGTTACCTTTACATTTGTTAGGTCCACATTATGCTCCTCTAAGAAGCTTATGAAGTCCATGAAATTCTCCTCTGTTGGGCAGTAATGACCACTATATGGCCATACAGCCTTAAACAATATGCAAATAGGAAACAAAAAGGGAAAAATGAGAGACGTTAGGGGATAAAAGTGTTTAATATTCCGTATGCAAATGGCCCTTTATGAGATGCCATAGCTGCATAGAAAATTACTTGAGCATTTACCTCAAGAATGCCATTGCGGGCAACCAATCTTCCTGCTGCAATGGTGGCACCTCCTGCTAGAAAGCTCGAGTGTTGGAAAACGCCCTTCTTCTTCTCCGCGACGTAAAATTTCCGCGATGTGCCGAGTACAAAGATCCACTTTGTACCCTCAGGTGTCTCTACAAGGACTTCACTTTTTTTGTAAAGAAGCTTCCCACTCACCACAATAACCTCATATGCGTCCCTCTCTACCTGCAATATAAAAGCAGTGTATTTTTATACCCTTGTTCTATATAGCAAATATAATTAATTTTAGTTTTAAAGTTGGTGATGATAAGAAAACTAATTTGTAGTTTTTTTTATAATCAAGAAATTAAAGAAAACACTTACTGGTCCAAGGTATGTAATGCACTGGTGTTGTAGATCAGTCCTTGGACATTTATCATGATTTATTTCTTTTCCATCTCCCACGTCCAACCTTCATGGTTTCAAATGAAAGGAAACTAGGAGTTTGTCAAGAGGGAAAAAAGAAAGTAAAAAGGGAAAATAATAATATCTAAGAAAAAGGGTTTTTGTATCATGAGTTGTACGTACCAATAGAAGAAAGGTTGATAGCTCTCGCTTTCAAACCAGAGATTATAGTAGAAGTGTAGATTGTGCCCATAACGATGGCGTGGATCAATCTGTACAAAAATATGAAAGGGTGAATTTTCTTTGTCGTCCTTGGTTCTTACACATTAGGATAGGATTGAGGGAATAAGAAGTATTTTTTTTTTCCCTCGGTCATGTTAAATGAAGTATTACAGGAAAGAATATTAAAGTATCTCTTAGAGTTATTCTAAATTTGCATTAGTAAAAAGATATGATAGGGTAGATAATTAAATACCCTACTAGTACCTTACAATTTTGAACCGTCATAATTTCATCATTAACTATTCTTATCTGATATGATCCGACGTAAAAAAGATGACACAGTAAAAGAAGAACAACAACATATTGTCAATGTGGCCTTACAGCTTCAAGCCAGTGTCTTAGATCTAATTTCTGGGCATTTTCATACTTGGATAAACCTTTTCCAACCTGCAAAAGAAAAAAAAAAAAAACATGTATCCTATTTTATCAACAACCAACAGTGTCATCCATTTTGGTCTAGTCAACAAACAAACAAGAAAACAGAATTCCGACAAAAACTTTTTTGAAGTGTAGTGGACTCATGATATTGGTCTAAAAGAAGACTTCTGGTGAAAAAAGTTGACGATGATGAAACCAGCACGAATTTTCTGAATTAGAAATTTTCCAAGAGTAACCGACACTACAAAAATATAGAAATGTCACCTTGGCAGCCCTTGTCCTTGCCCTTGCCCACCTGGAAAGTGCAGTTTCTGACTTATCAGATTCAAAGAATGACACAGAGCTCCTTCTAAGGGCAGCAAAATCTAATGCCTTCCACCTAATTCAACATAACAAATAAGAAAAGTCAAGAAAATCTTTATGCTTATAAAATAACATTAAAGGGTCCTCCTATGGTAGGATTAGCGTAACTTTCTGACCGTTGGATATGATCAAAACAGTTCTTGATACATTATTGAAAAACAGAGATATACAGGTAGTTATATTTTCAAGACTTACCAAAGAAATCTTCTGGCATCAAATATAACAAGAAAAATGAGAATCAATGATAAGAATAAATTAGGACGAACCATAGCTCCTCAACAACAACAGCACAATCTGCAAGGTTTCTTCTTGTTCGGTAGCTCTTGTAAACTTTCTGCAGTGTGGTTGCAGCAGCATTTAGCTCACTTGCAGGCCTTGGAGAAAGCCAAACAGCATAATTTCCCACAACTGATTCATTAATGTTCTCCTCACAATCCGGGACTAATTTAGTCTCGAATGAAACAGATGTTTTGACTGTTAGACTTCCAACTTTCCTTCTCAATGATCTTCTTGGTTCTTCAACGATAACCTTATCTAGCTCATGATCATCAGAGTTATCAGTCTCATTATTCATCAAGTCAGTTCTCTTGAAGCTAACTGTTTTTGTTATTGTCTCAGCTCTTTTCCTGGACTCAAAATTGATCGATCTGATGGTAACCATTTCTGCACTATATATATATATATATATATATATATATGTTAGACCAAGAAAATTCTGCATGTCATGATCAGTTTTCCTTTTGAGGATAATGGGGCAAGACAATATATGAACCAGAAGTTACACATAAGTATTGCATGTATGATCATGATTTTTTTTTTTTTTTAAATCTCTATTCTAAGAAAAGTTCAGTTATCTAATGCAGATATGTCTTTTAGGAAAAGAAAAATACCGCTTCATATTTTTCTGAAGTAACCCAAAATCAGTATACAATGAGAAGTGCTCATAATAATAATAGCGAAACAACCCAAAACATAAAGAGAGATATTACTGTTAGATTAAAGTTTCTGACCTGAATATAACGAAGCTGATATTTGTCTCTCCGCTATCATGTATCTCAAATGATGACTTGGTATTCAGTTGTTATTCAGATCCTTATATCGTATGTCTCTTATTTATAGACGACACACACAATAAATTAAGTCAACAAAGGAAATAATTAAAGAAATTAGTACATTCAAATACGCATAAATTAGACGAAAAACTGAAGGAAAAAAAGAAAGGCACAATTACATTGTTGGAAAAACTTGTTCCTGCAATGACACCGTGTGGTTTGAATATAGAAATGTACATGTGACGGACTTGAATATAACTGACCGCGAGGACGGACGTTGAACTTGAAGCGTTCAATTTGGTCAGTGAAAATTCCCTTATGCGTAGGGTTCATAAGAAAGTATAAACATGCGCCTTTGGGGCATGCAGCACCGTCATTGAGCACAGCAACTTATAGAAATTTGATTTTATTTGTACCTTATATTGGGATCTACTTTTATTAGTGTGTGATTCACACGCTCAACATTTAGTAAATTTATTTTTTTTTGCGGGCTCATACTTTCATTTTAAAAGACTAATTTATTAAGTGGCTAAACCAATATCTTTATGAGTATGTATTTATTTAGATTTAAATTAATGATGTGAAATTAGGATTTGCTTTCCCTTTTACGCGCGCCTCATAAGACGGTACTCTCTTTAAAATCATTAATTTTGTATTGTATGAATTAAATTGCTCGTTTGAACTAATTAGGCTTTGATACCATACTACGGCCGGTGACCTTAACATTGTTCGGATTAAAAATTGATAAATGGAAATGAATGAGAGGAAGAAAGAGAGACTTTATATTTTCTGTCTTCGTGGATTATTTCCAAGAAAGATCGAACTAGTTAGCCAAGACAACGTTTGACTGGAACAACACAGGAAGTTTTGGCTAGACTTTTGACTATAGACTAATTGCGAATGACAACAACATCAAGTAATGCCTTTTATAATTACTCTCATTACATGGTGTGACGATGAGTCAAAATCAAATGTACGTGGTTATACTCATAGTCAGACACACAAACACAATATATATATATATATATAAGTACAGGCCAAAGCCGCAATGTTTTATTTATATATATGTATATATATTTTTCCCTCCCTAATCTTACGGCGCTCAAAAGTTTTTCCATTATTTGAAAGGGCCAGAACCTTGTGTCATTAATTCCTTCATTACAGCTAGCTGCGTATTTTTAACTTTTGTTAGAGAAGGAAACTTGTGGAAATCGTAGTTGTCAAGATATAGAAACAACTACCATCAATATATATTTATATATAAGCAACGCATGCATTTAATAAGGATCCACAAATATATATATATATATATATATGAAAATGTTATTATTGAATATTCATCCACATATATGACTTCAAATCAAATGCCTAATGTTATTTTTTTTTCCTGCTATTACGTGATCATATTCATATATGGCTCATGTATAAATAAAACAAAAGCAACCCTTTTTAAATACAGTCATTTTTTTATCAGAGAAACGAAGAAGAAAAAATAACCATGAATAAATCAAGTGCATCTTTCTTAAATTGAAATATTGATATCATAGAAATATAAATTTATTGAAATATTTCTTTCACAAAATAATCCATCTTTTTCAGGTTTATTGGTTTTGTAATGAAAAGTGTAGGGTTTTGTCACCTCTCCAATTATTTCTCCATTAGGTAGGATTTTTTTGGCCCAAGCACTTATTTGTTGAGGAGAAACTGATCCAATTCGAAGTTGTTGATGTTTATACCGATCGATCATATAAGAAAAATTTTGATTCATTCCGACAGAGTTTTGTAGTTTTGTTATTTTGATTATATAACTTTTCTTCATCTGGACGTCTTTTTAGTTTCTACTATTAGACAAAGTCTTCAGTCCGGCATCCGGATTAATCAGGCACGTGTAATGTTTTTCATATGTCCGTGTAAAATTTTGTGTTCGTATGTGTAACTTCTTTTATATGTTTGTGTGACAATTACTATTACATGCGTTGTTTTATATTTATTAAATGTTATACTAAAACAAATCGAGTGTTACATATATTTATGAACAATGTTACATAAATATATAAAAAAAAATTACATGCACGTGATTAGTCCAGAGTGCCAGATTTAAGACGAATCCATTACATATATATCATACACAGTCCGACAATTACAAAATATCAACAAATAACCCAAACAATATTGTCAAACGACATCCCTCACCGACCTAGGCTAGATATGTGTGCGGTACAGCCGGCAAGATGGGTCACGACACGACGATATGACTCGAAAATGACACAAATTTTATGGGTTAGGGTTGAGAAAAAAGAGATTCGGGTCAGAATTTAGTCGACCTGAAATTGACACGAAAAACACTGGTCAATTTCGGGTTGGACCCGCCTAACCCGAACACAACACGAAACTCGTAAAAAACTAAAAAATACATATATTTTTCATTGCATATTTTACATTTTATTATGAACTTGTGATATCATGATAGTTATACTCAAAATCTTATACTAGTATTTGCTTAATTTCAATGGATGTTATTGTAATTTAGTGTGTTATGAATTTTAAGTTATTTTTAATATATAAAAAACTAAATAAAAGTATACAATTTTCGTGTCAATTTCGTGTCACGGATCATTTTCAGGTCGTGTTGTGTCAACTCGTAAAGTGGTCATGTCGTGTTCGTGTTGTGATTTTTAAAAAATTTCGTGTCACGAGTCGTGTTCAGATTGACTACAAATTTAAAAAGAAACGATCAAAATACGACTCGAACATAATACGTGACACTAATTGTCACCCCTAGTGTGCAGTGTTGCAAATTCACAAAAATCCAAAATATAATAATATAAATGCCTCCTGGGACACTGGCAAAAGAACCCACATTGTCAACGTATCCTTTTACACGTAACAATATTTAAGTTCAAATAAAGTACTGTAATATTCCGAGAGTACTTTTTCTATACGTTTCGTAGAGAGAGGACTGGGACAACACGTATACAGCTTATAAAATCGTCTACGAATATTCAATTTCCACACCTATCTATATTGATATAGCTAAACCTATGTATAAATGTCCATAACTTGACCACTGTACTATTTATATATGGTGGGTCGTGTTGGGATTTTCAAGATAATTTCTAATATCTCATAGCCACATATTTAAATAATAATTTATAATATTTAATAAATGGAATAATTAAAGATATGAGATAAATGAATGGATAATGGTCTTTAATACGTCAAATTATTTGATTTTTTTTTCTCTTCTCCATTTAGAGAGAACACACTATTAAAGAACTCTGGTAATTTGATTAAGGAAGACAATAACCGGTTCGCCAATCGTCATAGTAATTCCGTAAAAATATCGATTGCTATTATGGATTCATGTATGCTTTCTCAATTTTTTTTAAATAATTTGACATGATGATTCTTGAGATTTAAAGTCATATTTATAATTAAAGTCTAACATGTCACTCAATTGATTGTGGTCATTTCTCATGTGCTTTGTCTCCCAATAAAAACCCCTTCGAAGGGGTAAGAGATTACAGGTAACTATAATATATTTACTTATGATCTTCATGCTATGCAACACGAAGTTTCCAAGAAGCTCGCAGAGATTCTCAAGGACCCCTAGACCCTTGGAAAGAAAAAGAAAGTGAATTTCATTTCATTTACAGGTGACGCGCTATTATATTATAGAATTTACTTTCTATTAGTGTGTAGTAGCGCTATTATATTATAGAATTTACTTTCTATCAGTGTGTGGTATGTACAGTATCCTTAGAATTGCTCTTAGAATTTTCACGAGCAGTAGAGGAAGCAAAGAGTCGAAAGGGAAAATTTAAGAAAACGAAGACTAGTTTTACCAGTATCTCTAATTTTATATTCAAGCTCCACGTAAGTTACACGAGAATTTCAGCAATTCAAACAAATAGTTATATGATTTTGAACGTGCTTTATTTGAGAATCTAAATCGTGTTAAAACAATAAAAGCTTGTTTAGTGTTTACTTTTCTTTTCTCTCTCTTAAATTTGTAACTATAAGTTCGTGATCTCTTCAAATATATAAGTTGGAATAAATTGGATGAGTCGTCTTTATAAAAAAAAAAAATGATGCTCTGTGGATAATTTCATGGGCCAACTGGAAAAGTCGAAATAACGGTTTGTTTGGTTCCGACCACAACATTATTAACTAATGTGGTGGCCCGACGAGTTACTTCTTTCATCTAGTTATAGATTTATCATTAATAGTTCGCTAATTTGAGTTAAAATGTGACTTTATGTGGGAACTTTTTACTATAGTAAAAAAGTTAGATGTGACTGTTTTTAAAAACTTTTTACTATAGTAATACTTAAATTTTAAACTCGAATTATGAAATAAACGGGATCATATTATATATGAGAGAGTGTATTTTTTATAAACACATTTTTAAATCACTCCTTAATTTATTTATTACACCCCTCTTAATTTTTTTAATAAAAAAAATCCTTACAACTAATCGCCCCTCATTGTACTTTTCACAACATTTTTAAAATTCTAATTTTTTAATTGGTAGGTGAAAGAACAGGAGAAATAATACAATTGAAGCTTAAAATTTAATTTGTAGGTGGTTTAGGAAATCACATATAAT